GCATGATGAGTGACTTATAGAGCGTGGTTTTCGTACGTCGAGAGAGGACTTTACTCCTGAATTGCCTACTCAGTCCAAAGTAGCACTTGTTGGCAAGAGTGATTCTACGTTGGATTTCAATGCTGACATTATTATCGGTGTTAATGCTGGTTCCCAAGTAAACGAAATTCTCTACTTTCTCGAAATTGTAACTGTCAACAGTGACGTGGGTGCCAAGGCGCGAATGTGCTGACTGTTTGTTTGATGACAGGAGATACTTCGTCTTGTCCTCGTTTACCACCAGACCCATGCGCTTTGCTTCCCTATCCAACTTGGAAAAGGCAGAACAGACTTCGCGGTTTTTGTTACCGATGATGTCGATGTCATCGGCATAAGCCAGCAATTGCACGCTCTTGTAGTAAATTGTTCCTGAGCGGTTCAGTTCTGCAGCTCTTATTATCTTCTCCAACATCAGATTAAAGAAGTCACATGAAAGGGAGTCGCCCTGTCTGAAACCCCGTTTTGTGGCGAACGGCTCGGAGAGGGCTTTTCCAATTCTGACGGAGCTGGTGGTATTGCTCAACGTCATTTTACACAGCCGTATGAGTTTTGAGGGGATGCCAAATTCAGACATAGCGGCGTATAGGCAACTCCTTTTAGTGCTGTCAAAAGCGGCTTTAAAGTCGACAAATAGGTGGTGAGTGTCGATCCTTTTCTCGCGGGTCTTTTCCAAGATTTGGCGTATTGTGAATACCTGGTATGCTTTATTGAACTCGGCCAAAATCGGCAAGGCTGTTGCAGCACCAAACAAAAAGAAAAAGAATTTCGAGTTTGTTTCATGCTGTAGAAATTTTATTTACTCTTTAAATTAATACTTCTTATTCGTCTTTGTCGTCGTTTTCGTTTCGTTTGGTTCGTGTTTGCCTTCACCTTGGCCTTCGTATTTGTTGTTGTTGTTGCAATAGCATGCATAAATATTTCCCAAAGAGGATGTAGAAGGTACCGAGTTCGAATTCCACCAGACGCTTCCTTAATTTTTTTTACAATGAAAAAGCATTCGTGAAGTGCAGAAGAAGAAGGAAAGCGTATTGAACGAATAAAAAAACGTCTCCGTTTCACAATAATTTTCTGCACTTGCCTGTTCATACCTTTCTGCCGCACACTTTGTTGGGAAAACGGATCGTCAATATATCCGAAAATCGAATCGGTGAACGGACAAAAATCTGCATTTCATTTTTTTTCTTTTTCGTATCGATTTTCAGATTTTTTGCTGGCTGGGTAAACCCAACTGTCATAGAAACGCTTTCGTATTCATCTTCGTTTGTATTCGTTTTTGTCTACATTACGGTTTTCTTATTAGTCCTTTTTTTATTGCTGTGTTTTCGGGGTTTTCCCACAACATTTTTCATTCGAAAAAAAATTTTTTAACACAAAAAATCTTCAAATTTTATTATGCAGTAAAATGTTAAGTACTCCAGTTAAGGTATACCCAACACCCGACAAAAGGAAAAAAATAATAATTAAAAAGTAAAAATAAAAAACATAAAGAACACTCCTACCTACAAACCAAGAAAAAGTCTAACAGTGGAATAAAAGCAAAAAAATGTCCACAAAACTAACCATAAATCTATTTAATACATTACCGCTTTAACGCTCGCACTTCCTGTCAATGTTCGTGCTGTCCTGCACTTCGTTACGCTGCGAAACGCTTGCACGTACGGGTTGCCTTCGCCCTCACCACCACACTATTGCCGCGCAAGAGCACTCGCGGTTTGTCGCGGTACGAATTATGCTGCTGTGGAGACAAAAGTCCACCCCGCAATTGCAACAGCTTAAAATATTAACTTGCCACTCGAAGTGGGTGAGAATTCTGCTGTTTTTTTTTTTTGTTTTTTTTTTTTTTACCGCACTGCCTTGCTGCCTTTTACACTGTGCACTCGCGCTTACTTCCTTCCTTTCTATTTCCTAATAATTTCAAAGTTGACATAAAATTCAAATTGTTTAGATAACGAGGGAAATTACGAGTATAGCAAAAGTAGGAGCGTCGAAAGAGAAAGAAAATTGGCTCGTAAAATAATTTAAAATATTTACATGGTATGCGCTTTAAAGGCATTATGCACAAAAGCACGTGAGTTTAAATTTCATACCTTTCTGGCGTATGAACGTAAAACAAAAGAATAAATGCGAAATAAATAATTTATTAAAATAAATTCCGCGGTATTTCTGAATAAACTCTGTAAATCCTACGAATCAACATGTGTGGGGGGNTTGGGGGGGGGGTGCCATTAAGCACGCGTAGTCAGTAATTTCGCACGTGCAGCGCAAAATGATGTTGAAATGCGTGTATTTATTTATGAATAAGGAAATGTTACGTATCCGCCACCGACCGACATTTATGTACACATGTATGTATGTACATAGGTATGCGCATATTTCGTTGAAATTGCGGCGGCATTTGCAACGCTTAAGGATTCAACGCCCACTCCCCCCCCTTCCCTCGGCGAGAGTGCAAACAATTTTTATTTACATAATTTTGTGGTGGTGTTGACTGTTGGGTTGTTGTCGTTGTTGGTGCTATTAATGTTGTACAATGTACATATATAGCTTATATGTTTTGTTATTTTTTTTTTGCAATGCGTGCTTTATAAAATGACAGTAGGCACATAAATAAATGCCTTCAACACCAGCAAACTGCGTACGTGAACATTATTGTGGTAACTCTGTGTGGAAATGCGACTATACACTGGCGGCAGAAATAATAGACTCGTCGTACATTGAAGAGGTTTGGCTATATTTCATTAGTTTATTTTATGTTTAATATTTTTTTTTATAAAAGCACAGGTAGTTATACAACAAACATCACATAAATCTGCTTTTCAAACTTTAAACAAAAATTATAAAATTTCGACAAATTTTCAAACTCTTTATTCAGAAATTTTAGAAAAATTATTGGTATGCAGTTTTGTAGCCCATTCAATTTTAGTATAATAAAGTGTGAGTTTTAAGTGGCTAGAAAATACCGTTGTTTTTTNATTCTCTTCCATATAAAAAAAAAATTACCGAGCACACTTTGTGTCAACATTGCACAGAAGATAGAAATTACATCTTCTTTGATCGATTCGAGTCAGAAATCTGGTAACTGCATAAAAAAGGGCTGAATTGTGATGAGCATTTTTTGAATTGACTCATGAATAGATAAACAAAAATACCAAAAAAACGATCGCATTTATTATTACTCTGTAGAATACTTTAGGATTGGCATATTTTACTTATGTACATTCTCGTTGCTTCCAAAAAATTTAATTTGTTTTGGTTTTCGGCTACCTGACTTCTTCGTCGGATGGCTATGAGTATGAGTAATTTGGTAGGAGTAATCTTGTTGTTGCAGCTGTTGCTCATTTTTATCAGTCTACTTAACGTTGTCAACATTGGCCCAGAAAGTAGACAATCGTCACGTTGCCTCCTCTCCTTCATAGCGTGCGTAGTGGGTAACAAAATTTTATGTCGCCGCAGTGCGTTTTAGTAGGCCATTTTATTATTCATACATACATATGTATATTCATATGTATATATATCTTCTAGCTTTGTCCTTACCCCTTCCTCTGTACCCGCCTTTTCATCTTAATTTAATATGTACTTGCATATTTTTCACTATTCCAAAAGCTACCAACTATACTTAGTTCTTTCTCCAGTTCTCAGCAACATTTAACAAAAACAAAAATTAACAGTATAATGTCATTTGCGTCCCGTTTATTTCCCAGCTATCGTCAACTTAATGCCTTTACTTGCTTTCTTGTGTGCTTGCTTGAATGTCCTTTCGCGTCATCCCAGTGGAATTAGCTTTGGCGCTACCTTGCAAAACATTTATTCGCGCATACTTGTGTATATATGTACATTAGGGTTGTCCAAAAACAGTAAAGTCGGAATTGTAATGCTCTCAGCCCCCTAGGGTTGTTCTATATCTATTTTTTATAGGGAAAAAACAAGTTTTCGTAGAAATGGTATAGAAATCTTGAAAATCAATATTTTTCGATCGGAAACTCTGTTTCTCTTCAGGAGACTTTTAATAATAATACCTAACTGTTTATTTAACCATTTTTAATACAAATGATTTTTTGTTGGTCCTCCCCTTGAATTTTTCGGCGTTTTTGTGGGGTTTTATCAGACCTATAAATTATTGCTGCGATGAAAAAATAGTTAAATAAACAATTGGGTATTATTACTGGGAATCTTTTGGGGAGAAACAGAGTTTTCTGAAAAATATTGATTTTTAAGATATTTCTAAGAAAAGTTGTTTTTTTCACAAATATAAAACTTATGGAAAACATTGAGCGCTTAGAGCGACCTCTAAATTTTTTTTGATAGAACATAAAAGTTCCGACTTAACATTTTCACATGTATTTTTGGACCACCCTAATGTACATACATACATATGTATGTAGATATATACTCGCACATCTGCATCAGGACGTGCCTCAGTTAGTTTTCTACTAATTTCACTAAAGTTTTATCGCTCATTCGCTTTTGTCATTGTCATTTTTATTTCCATTTTGATTTTATTTTAATTCTGTTGGCTTTGTCTACGCTGGATATATGTACATATGCTGCCCGCATTCATATGCACAAGCATGCAAACAATAAAGGAGTTCATCTTTTGTCCTTTGCACAGTTTGCTCTGCGAATTCGTTGACCTTTACTGTTCGTACATGTGTATGTACTAATGTATGTATGTATGTATGTACTTTTATTGCTGCCTCAATCGCTTTGTTTTTGAACGGGTGGGTGTGTGTCTGCATTATTGCCTTTGTCTTCATTAAAGTTTATGGCTGTTGCTGTTTTTAAATACTTTGTCCGTACGAAATGTCCTGTCGTGCGTTACACACTCCTGCAATAATTGACTTAAAGGCAAGGCAGTTAAGACACACGCCTATACATGTAAGTACATGTATTATAGGAAGTTCATCCAGCCAATAAAGCGACCATATTAACAAGCAGCGCTTGCTGATTTTAAAATGCACTACATATCCTTGTCGTCACTGAGGCGATAATGATTACGATTATGTTTACGATTGTAAATACCATAACCATTAACATTACGATTATCATTACCATTACTCTTACGATTACCATTACGATTACTTTTACCACTATCATTACCATTACCATTACTATTACCAATATCATTGCCAATAATAATACAATAATTAAATACAAAAAAATACAATACCATTACCATTACTATTACGATTACCATTACAATTACTGCTTTATTACCATTACCATTATGATTATGGTTACGATTACAATTGTAATTACGATTACCTATGCCAATACAAATAAATACGAATACGAGAACTACCCAGTAGATAATTTGAGGAGCTAAAAGCCCTTCTAAAAGTTCTTGCTGAGAGTCAAGGTGCTTTCCCCTTTATATTCCTTTCTCCTTCTTTTTTTATGAAGTAGCACAAATTGAACGGCTCGATACTCATCAGAAAGCTTTTTTGGGGAGTTCTTTCGGAGCTGCTTCTTTAATTCATAAAAATCATACACTCTTATTTACATAGCTATTTATTTAAGGTGCATATCAGATAAGTTTTATTGCAATTTAAAATGTATATTTTTGAATTAATTTGTAATGCTAAATAATAAGGATACTGAGAGCAAACTCATTAATGTCATGATTCGGCATTCGATAATTTTCGCCACTATTTTTTGTTGTAAATTTACTAAATTGTCGACTAAATCAATCGCAAGCTTGATAATTTGAGCGAAACAAGCGTTAGAACATCAGCAGACTTCTTTCTTTCCTTTGTGCGCTGTAATTTTTGGACGAGACAATTAGATTGGTTTTACACGGTTCAAGTATTGAATTAAATTGTGCTTGCAAGTGGAAGCGAGAGGGTGAGAAGAAAAGGGAGTCAAGTCGTTTCGAGTTTCGTGCTTTACTTCTGGCATTTTCGCTGTCTCCCATTTAAAGAACCAGAAAAGTGTATTCAACAAAATTGAAGCGTGTAAAAACAAATTAAGGACCCAAAAGAGAATGAACAAGAATTGTTTGAATCATGTAAATCGGATCTTAATTACGAAAATGAAGAGCTAGGTGCATTCGAAGTTAAAAGGGCTACCGAGTTAACGAATAACAATTTATTACATTAATGAGTTTGATTTGAATACCCTTAATAAATATAAACTTACACATTAGCGTAAATTGTGGATAGGAAAAGCGCGCTTTGGTAAGCCTTTCAGAATGGTTTTACTTAACAAGGCCTACATAAATTATCTACTGGGTAATACCGAATAAGAATCATATGATTTCTCAAATCAAAGTTGCTTGGGTACTTCTTTATATCTGGCAACCGTGACACATTAGTAACCAAAAACAAACCTCCTTAGGTATCTACGTACACTCCTCGTCATTTGAATAGCGCACCCTTTAGTATTTACAGTTTTCCTTTTGTTTATTTTATCTTCATTAATTTTTTATAAGAATAGGTCCACTGCCATATTCCTCGGACTAAAACTAGTAAAACTGTCAAAAAATAAAAATTCGTTCAGAGTGAGAGAGTAACACTGAATAGTGCGGTATCATTTTTTAGTAAAAACTTGTAACTTCTGACAGCCTCAACATAACCTCCAAATTTGGTTGTCAATTTTTGCTTATTTTGTATGCAAACACGCTCAGCTCACTCATGTAAATAATTTCAAATTCATTAGATGTCACTTGAACAAGTAATTAAGTTCTTTTCAACATGTATTAGCAGCGTGCACTTTTCTTTTGTTAACAATTTGGTTGTCAAACAGACAAAACCTGGATCGTTTGACACATTTATCCAAATTTACCAGCGAAAAATTTTCGGACTAAAACTAATAACTTTTGATAGAGAGAGGATCTTATTTACTCTCTTTTCCTCTCAGTATAGTCAGAAAACCGATTATGAGGTGCAATCCCGTATTCCTCAGACTAAAACTAGTAAAACTGTCAAATAATAAAAATTCGCTCAGAGCGAGAGAGTAACATTGGAAAGTGCGGGATCGCTTTCTAGTAATAAGTGGTAACTTCTGTCAACTTCAACATAACCTCCAAATTTTGGTTGTAAAGTTTTGCTTATTTTATGCGTAAACACACTCAGCTCACACATATAAAGAACCAAACAAAATTTTCAAATTGTTTAAAATCCACTTAAACAAGTAATTAAATACTTTTCAACATGCATTAGCAGAGTGCACTTTCCTTTTGTTTACAATTTGGTTGCCAAACACACAACAGCTGATTGTTTGACACATTTACCAGAACTTAGGTTTGTTCGCCGAGCAAAAAATTTGTACGAATTTGTACGAAAAAATTTTGCCAGCAAGAATTTGCAAACACGAAAAACATGTGGTTGTGGCGCATGGTTGCATTTTTGTCTACAATAATTTGAATAAATTAGTTCGTTAAATTTAAAAATTTATAAACACGAGCGATTTTTTTATGAAAAAAGGAAGTAAATAATTGTTGATATAATTAATTTAGTTAATTCCAATGATTTGAACTTAATTCGGCTGAAAAAAATGGTATTCGCAATCGGAATGCAATTGCAACCAGAGTCGATTTAAGAAACCCGACAGCTAGTACGATGAAGAAATTGAAATGTATGTTAAAGAAAGTCAGAACAACAAGAAATATACATGTATATCCTGTTTTTGGCCATCCGAAAGAATTTTAAAAATTCGATAAAAATTTTTTATGTTTGAAATGCAACCGTGGACGCCAGCTGGCAGCGAAACTTGCAAATTCCTGCAAATTTGCGTTCGTGCAGAAATTTGCAAGTTTCTCAACATGAGAGAGAATTTGAGAGAATTTTTTCTTACTCTCTGATATTTTGAGTGTTGGATAATTCTTGCTGGATTTTCGACGAACAAACCTCTTGCCAGCAAAAAATCTTCGCACTAAAACTGGTAACTTCTGACAGAGAGAGGACATTTTTTACTCTCTTTTTTGTCCTCTCAATAATCAGAGAACCGAGTACGGGATCGATTTCCAGTAAAATCTGAATGATTCTGACTATTTCTGACTATTCCGGACACGTACGGGATCACAACTTTTAGTAGAATATTTAAACCATAAAAGTGCCACTCAAAGATTTAAGGAAAATTTCTATTATCTAATGTTTATATTAAATCGGCGACCGCCATCTTTTGCTTTGTTATCAAAATCACTAAAAATTAAAATTTGGTTTAAAAAAAGTCGTTGGAATGTACTGTTATTTGAAAAGCAACACTCACCTGATTGCAGCACAAACACTTGCTTACCTACATACTTGTTTACTCAATCGTACTAGTACTCCGAAAAAATAAACAAACACTTGCGCCGGCGTCAAACTTTGCCGCCATTCAACAGCTGCCTATCTAATTGGAATCTACTTATCCGGTGTTTATGTGCGCCTACTCAGCTGGATTCACTGTGGTATGGAAAATTTACTTGCCTCAAAGAAACTCGAACCGATCGCATGAGCCAAGTTTTAGGCCAAAGAAATTTTTATTACGCAAATTAGTGAAGAATAAAGAAATTCATTTAACTGCGATCCATCGAACAAAAAACAACGAAACAGGCAGCAATCTAATTTAGTGAAGTCTACTGATTTGTTAGACTTTTTTAGTACCTATTTTTGCAAACGAAACTTTTTGTGCAGCTTTTAATTATTATTTTCTCTCTTAATTACAGTTGCAAAAAAATCAAGTTATGGAACTACCCTCGATGGTGCAACGCTCTGGCGACACGCTAATTGTGCGCAGCGTCGTCAGTGGTAATCAATTGTATTTGGATCAGGGTGCCGCCTCCACGAAAAACAATAATAACCACAAGCATAGTAGCGCTTCGCCGTTGCAGCAGCAGCAGCAATCGCAATCGAGTGGCACCGCCAACTTGTCAACTACTGCACTGGAACAATTAGAGCGCTATCGTGCCGCAGCTGCACAGTATCACCTACAACAACAACAGCATCAGCAACACCAAAATGCCGCACAACAGCAACAAAATGCGGTTGCTTCGGCGGTAGCTCATCAGCAGGCTATGGAACTGAAAGATGAGGGGCTGCCACAATGTAAAATCAAGCGCAATTACAGCTGCAGCTACTGCACCTACTTCACGCAAAATCCACGATACCATCTTACGCATCTGCGAGACGTTCATGGCGAAAAAATCGTCATCAATAAGTGCAAGCTGTGCCTGTATGCGTCGCGACATTTTCAAAAGTTGGTGCGGCACATGAAAATGGTGCACGGCTGCACCGATGGTGTGGCCGGTGGACACGGGCAGCCGCGTGGCAAGCGCGGTATGAGTCGGGAGGCACGCAAGCGCAAGTTGGAACAAAGCGTGGGTTTGGGCGCAGCACCGAGTGATATGAGTGTCAGCAGCGGAGGCAATGTCGTAATGAGTGAAGGTGTGTCGAAAATGCCGACTTATGAGCAGGTGAGTTAAGGGGAAATTCGCAAAAAAAAATGTTTGGGGATCTGAAAATTAAATAACTCAAGGTGCCTCAAATTGCAACTACTATTGCTTAGATAACCATAGTTAAAACCAACTCATCTATGTACATACATATAAAATAAAAATCATCTGTAGGAAACTAATAAAATCAACCCTTTAACCTTACAGGTTAAACGCGAACTAGAGCTGCAGCGCGAATCTCTTATCGCCGTTGTTTATGAGCGTGAGTTACAGGCCCAGCGTGAGCGTGAACTAGAAGCCCGTCAACAGGCACAGAATGCGTACGAACAAGAAATGCAGGCAGCAACAGCAGCTGCTGCTTCAGTGGCTGCATCCGAAGCACAACGTCGTCAATCGCCAGCTAATGCAGCCACTCCCAGCAGCATCAGCAGCAACAATGCAAGTGCCTCTGCAAATGGCTCTAGCAGCAATAACGGCAGCGGAAATCTTCCAGCTTTTCAATTGCCACCAGCTCATCAGCAGTCACTTACGGCACATAACCGCACCATTGAGCTTTCACCATCACCCACCGACTCAGTGTCGTCTGGGAATGGAGCTGACGCCGCTACCGCAGCTGCATTGCATTCCAGTGGGGTTTCACTGACCTACGTTGGAGATGAGCCCACCCAGAATAGGCTGTTGAAGTGTAGCCTTTGCGATTTCACCACCCTCTTCCGCGCACAATTGGTAGATCACGAATTAGACGAGCATTGTAAAACGAAATTTTTCCGCTGTGAGAAGTGTTCGTATGTAACACACATTAAGGCACGGTTCAGCAAACACGTCAAATATCACTCCATGCCTATGATTAAATGTGTTACGTGTGATTTTCGTACTCCTTATAAGTGGAATCTTGATCGGCATATGAAAAATCATGGGGGCGCAGGTCCATTCAAGTGTGCTGCCTGCGATTTTACAGCCGATATCAAGCAATCGCTGACGGTGCACGAAATGAATCATCATGTGCCACCGGTTGGGCATGCAGCGGGCATGTCGCTGGGACGACGACCAAACAAGGTCGGTGGTACAGATTTACGTGAAGATTTTCTAAGCGATTCTGTTGATTTGTTGGAGGATCATTTCAATAATAACAATCTCGATGAATACGATGAAGCGTTCGTAGCCGCAGAGCCTTATACCAAACGTAGCAAATATGACGAGGAAGAACCGACCGATTTGTCTGCGAAAGGTGGCTCCTCCGACACGTCGTCAGTGCATAATCAAAGTTTGAGTGTATCATTAACGCCAAAAGCAAAGCGGCCAATACCGAATCTCATTCCGATACCGAAAAATAATGGACCAAGGTGAGTTTTATCGGAGACTGAGCAAAATTTATTTATATTACTTCACTTATTAACTATTGTATGCAAGATTTTCAAATGCCTAATTTTGAGTTGTGAATTTTTTCAAGACGGTGTGATATAAAATAGGAAAATTTTAAGCTTCACCTTTACTTTGGTCGTCTTGTAATGTATGCTTTCCTCCCTTATGAATTCACAGCATTATGAATCTTCCCAAGGAGTTCGCTGCCTCGCGTAGCTCCCTTACCGATATCGCTTCTATGTTCTTCAATGATAAGCAAATCTCCGAGATGTTGCAGCCACTCGAAAAATCGGACGCCGCTCAATTATCACCAACTCCCACCGTTGCGTCCACATCCAGCCATGCTTCTCGCAGTTTGCTACACAAGAAACCCACACCGGGTGGCAGTTTCTTTGACAAATTGAAATCCTCAGCGTTGGCAGGACCAAGCGAGAATCTCATCTGTCCATGTGGTCATATGGCCAAGTGTCTGTCAGAGTCGATCATCCACCGCAAAACATGCAATTTCGCTGCTATCGCCGAAGATGATGTTGAGGAGGAGCAAGATGATGCAGACGATCGCCTGGAAATAGATTTTGCCGATGATGAAGATCGACAATCGCATTCGGCACTTAATTTGAGTGTAACCGGTTCAACGCGTTGCCAGCATTGTCGCCATCGTTGCAAATCATCTGCAGATCTGTTGAATCATCTCAAGCAATGCACCGAGGCTAGTCGATGTGGCAATGACTCTTTCGATTCAATGTCTGGTGACAGCAATGCCGGTCGTGTTGGTGGTGCTGACTCCACTAATGACCAACATCCGATGGAGAATCGCGTATTCATCTGGAATAAAATGCCTGGTGGTGACACTGGGCAGCGTGAAGGAAGTCAGTGCTCGGATAGTCGGGGGCAGACAAATAATACCGCAGAATCATCGGGTAGCAGCGCACATGGCGCTAGCAGTGCAACTTGTGAAGAGAATAGCTATTATGGTGTTGAAACGGCGCCAGGTTATGGTGAGGTGAGTTAACGGTTTTTCTTCTTTACCATAATTTAAATCAATCTCTCAACCGCCTCAAGCAACCGGTTTGAGTGTTAGGTACAAAATGAAATTTGAAACTTTCACTCTCTACAGGTAACGAAAAAGATGACGCCGGAAGAAGAAGCAGCTAATTCGTCTTTGAAGAAAGTATACAAGTGTCCGCACTGTTCTTTCTGGGCCTCAACAGCTTCGCGTTTTCACGTACACATTGTCGGTCATTTGAATAAGAAACCATTTGAATGCTCTCTCTGTTCATATCGTTCCAATTGGCGTTGGGATATCACCAAGCACATTCGCCTAAAGACCATACGTGATCCCAGCCACAAGAATGCACGTGTGCTCATGAACGACGAAACGGGTCGTCGTAATTACACCAAATACAATAAATACATCACATTAATGAAGGTAACCGAAGAAGATGGCGATCCAAAGTTAATGAAATCGGGCGAAATGACACCAAATCAGGTAGCTTCGTTATCCTTTATCAACGATTACAATAAAAATGTGGTACCTAATGCCTTGACATCTACCCATTTGAATGGCATCAAGGAGGATATAACACTGGAGCCAATACCATCGAAATCTAGCGCCGGTGTTAATAATAGTAGTGGTAATAATAATGGCAACGATCAGTTAGCCGACGGTTTCATACGTTTACCATTGCTAGCGACTATGATGAATGCTGCAATGGCACAACAACACCATCAACAACAAAAAGACTCCGAACAGGGTCAAGCAACAATGATTACACCCTCAGTAACTATTTCCGCTGTTAAGCGTTCGCCACCGCCTCTTATGAAGCCTAGTGATGATCTGGTCACAGATGTGCGCCAGGAGGGCAACGAAAAGAAAACATTCTATAGGTGTCGCAAGTGCACTTTTCGGTGAGTAAATGAGGAGAAAATTTTTGGTTTTTACTTTAATTTTTTTTTTATGTAATTTGGGGTGATTTACTTCACGGTATTTTACTTTCACTTAACTGTACTTTACTTTACTTGTCGGTTTTTTGGTTTATTTTGCTGTATATTACTTTTCTTTATTTTATATTTTATTTTATTTTATTTTTTTTTTATTTTATTTTTTTTTTATTTTATTTTTTTTTTATTTTTTTTTTTTTATTTTATTTTTTTTTATTGTGATTTGTGTTACATTGTTTTGCTTAACTTACTTTGTTATACGTTACCCAAATTTAGTGTACTTTACTGTACTGTATTGTACTATAGTGTACTTTATTGTACTTTAGGGTACTTTATTGTACTTTAATGAACTTTATTACTATAAAGTACTATAATATCTATACTTACTATATTTTTCTTTACTGTACTTTATTTTAATTTGCTTAACTCCAAATTTTTTACCGTTCTACACTTATCTTTCCCACCTTTCCCAGTCATGCAAATCGTGATGCCGTACTCGCCCACGTCAAGATACATTACCAGGATCCTAACTACCCTATAGTAACAGCTACAGCATCTACTTCACCCAAGTCGGCGAACTCTCAGCAGCAACAACAACACAACACACCACTTCAAGTGGCCGTTAATCCAAATATCTATATGAACAAAGTTCTCGCCGCTATGTGCCTTTCCCAGCAGCAGCAACAACAACAACCGCAACCCAACTCGAATTCTTCAACGAACACTGATCAACAGCAGCAGCAACAACAACAACAACAACATTCCATACTCTCCGCCGGCCTACTGCAACAAGCGATGCAAGGAGCACCGCCAAATTCACCACTAGGCTGCCTGGCATTATCGCTAGCCGGCAAGAGTCCTGCCAAAGCAACTGCTTCTATTTTAGAGCACGGTGAGCAGAAATCGATACAAAACGAGGCAAGTGCCCAAAGGCCAACGTCGCCCAAACAAAACAACCAAAGCAACTTTCACAATAGCTTAACTATAGCTTCATCGTCGACATCGTCTTCTCCACACTCCTCTGGCGGCAGCAATTTTGGTGTTGGTGTTGGTGGTGGTGGTGGTGCTGGAGTTGGTATGGTCGGTGCGGCCACATCAGCATCATCGTTGCAACATTTGTTAACTTCACCGCGTGGCACTTACGCATCATCCTCCGTACATTCACTACGCAATCAACTGCATTCGCCTACAATCAGCAACAACAACATTAGCAACACCATTGGTGGTAGTGTTGGTGTTAGTGGTCATACTACTAATAACAATAATAGCAATAAAAATTTGGTAATGGGTGCATTAACGGTAACGAAACACACCAGTGAAAGCGAAGCGAGACACAATGTCTTCGATTCACCCACAGCCACAGCAGATGCAAGCGGTGGCGCCGCTGCTTTATTACATTCATCACCAAGTGCTAGTGCTGCACTCAACACGCCCAGTGCCACAACAGTAACTACACTTCCTACTACTCTTACCAGTTCTAATACTACCACTAGTGCATCTCTGGGAATAAAGTCCACTAGCAATCCATATCATATGCAAATGGGTCTCATCGGTGCTTCATCTATTTCCAATAGCAACAACAACAACAACAGTCATAATGGCGCTATCACCTATTTGGGTGGTAGTCAAAGTAGTGGTGGTGGTGGTGGTGGTGGTGTTGATGTCGTTGGTACTCATAGTGATAATAATAATAGTCTATGTATTGGTGGTATTATATTTGGTTCTAATAATTCTACTACTACTACTACTAGTTTAAATCGCAATACTTCCATACCTCCTACTACTACTACTACAGCAACAACAGTAGCTAGCAGTCGCCCAACTGCTGGCAGCAGTGGTGGTGGTACAACATCATCTTCATCTAATTTGTTATTAAGTTCGGCTACAGTGGCGGCGGCGGCGGCAGCGGCAGCATCGACTCTTTATGCGTCCAATGCGGTCACATTGTCACCGCCCTCGGCGGCATCGTTATGTATTTCCTCGACCAATGCATCGTCGGCTAGCAATTTCAATCAAACACAAAATCTCAATCAAAATCAAATTCTGAATAACAATTGTAGTAATTTATTAGTTAACGACAGCGAGCGACGTGAACCGTCGCCGTATCGTTGCGGTCATTGTCATCAAGTATCAAATTGGAAGCATGTCATTCAGGTATTTTTATACTTACTCGGTTTATGTACTAATCGTAACTTGAAAGCACTTAACACATTTGCCATTTCTTTTTCATATACTTATGTATATTGCATATAAGTTTTTACAAAAAAAACAAATTTCGCAAATTTCCCTAACAAAATACGGGGTATAGCTGCGTTATTGCAAAAGGCAGTGTAAAGATATATATAATGAAAATGAATTTAAGACTCGGCTCGAAAAAAGAAATTATACATATGTTAAAGGAAAGCGTTTTTTTAACCACCTACTTTATGTAAAGTAAGTTGTATATTCGAAGGTTTTGTAAATGCATTTTCGATCCGATCTAATCCAAAAATATGACGAGTAGAAAAGCTGATTCACAGAGAAAAAGAGCTATTGTTTTGTAGCAATTTGTAAAACATGATTTTTTGATGATAGCAAATTTTTCATTCCCAGTAAATGTATATTAAATTGGAATTTTTCTCAATCCGCCTAGTCTATGCGTCGCATACGTACCTTCCTTCATAAATTTAATTTTAAATCAATCAGTCTTGAATGGATACGAGTATCTGGCTCTTTGTTGATTAACAAACCACATTTGCTCATGTCTAAACTCTATGTAACTCGACAAACTAAGACAGTAATGAGGAACGCAAGATTTTACACTGCGAACGTATAAAACTATGCACTAAAGCAGCAATGACCAGATAAAGCTTTTAATATGTGCACGTCCGTCCATATTAAGTCTATAAAAAGATTAAAAAATCTAGCGCAAGATATTTTTTGGTCGATACTAAATTAATTCAATGTTGACTAGATAGAGCTTTTATCATTTGGACGTCTATGCCCGTAACGATCAGAGAAAGAACTTTTATACACGATGTACTACATAAATAGTTGGTATTTCTATTCAAAATCAATTGAAAGCACTGGTCTATATAAAACGGCGCTGACCAAAGAGAGCTTTTACAGAGATAGATATTTTGCTCTGAGAGTGTCTATAGAAAATCTATCAAAATATTTAAAAAAGCTTCTCCAGTGTGATTTGCTTTGATTGTGACTGATCTAAGATGTATAGAAAGCTTTAAAAAGCTCTTGTATACAGGGACAGCCAGGGAGGGATTAATTCTGTGCAAGCTCATTCAAATGCTACAGAAAGCTTTAAAAAGCGATTAACGCGGAAATGTTTGGGTCTCTAAATATCGTCCAAAAATATTAGAAAAACTATGCAAAATGAGTGTAGTATAGTAGTTAAAAGCTTCTAAAAGCTAAAAGCTAAAAGTGTCGAATAACTAGAGACGCCAAACAGAAAACAAATTAATCGATAACTGTATCGATGCGGTATAAAAAATATCATTGTGCAAAGAAGTTGTTGTCTCAAGTTGCAAGGAGTAGCTGGAGGTATTTTTAGCAAGGATCTGTATTGGCCTGCTGGGCTTCGAGAGTAATCGGAGGTTGTCTAAGAAGCTTTTGAAGTTCAGGAAAGTTTATCTCTCGATACTGGTAAACTAACCATCGCCCGTTTGTAAAATTAATAGAAATCTTAGAAAAGCACTGCCAAAGGTGAAATCACCTCCTTATCTGCACCTTGGCTGTCCAGCTTACGCAAGCTTAAGGCTCAGGCATCTCTCGCATCAATTTTTTTTTTTCCAGTTCCAAAATTGTCCTGAGGTGAAATACTCTCCCTTACTTGGCCCAAAATGATCCCAAACTAGTCCCAAAATGATCCCCTAACTGGTCCCAAATTTAACTAAATCGAATCTAGCCTCGAAATGGCCACAACTGGTCCCAAAATGGTCCTAAAATAGTCGTAAACCAGACTCGAAACGGTCGCGAAATGATCCTTAAGTATTACACAAATAATCCTAACTACACAGAATCTACCCCCAGAACTATGCCAGAGATGCTCATTTGTGCACATAAGCATCAATTGGGGATTTTCCGCTGGGTTAACGAAAATTTTAGATATACCGCAAGCTACGATGGCCTTAATAATGGATTCTCAATTTAGTCGATACAAAAATGTCATCTCTTAAATTGACAGTATTGCAGCATCTAGAAAAAATTATTCGATTTTTTTCAAAATTCATAGAACAAATTAGGGACGTAGGACGTATTCTTATCTCGAGAGAATCAGCTAGTTACTCGTTTTTATATCCCCTTTAATGCACGCCGCTTTTATTAGAACTTATATTCTCAAAATCAGACGCCGTTTAGCCAAACTAGTTTTTTTAGTTTATCTTCCAATTTTTAGCGCCCGAAAGCCCTCAATGTGTCGCGTCCGTTGGTTGCACGTCGCAAAAATTCAAAAAAATAAAAAATAAAAAAAAAATTAACACCTACCTACATTGAAACTTCCATTGTGTTTGTAGTGAAAATTGTAAACGTCCTACTGGTAAATATGTATATGCCAATTTTAATAAATTTTTGTCTCATGTTTACAACAACAATAACCGCATAAAAGTAACATTTCAAAAATATTGGTGTGGTTTGAAGCGTTTAATATTTTTTTATCTACATACAAATTTACTTCACATATTTATTGGTTATCGGTGTAAACGAATTCATTGGCTCGTTTTTTACTTAACGTTAATCATTAATAAAAATTATTGGTCCATTTAAGGAAGTCTACGTTTAAAATTTGGGTTTGGTGTATTATTCAATTAAAAACATTAGATTTTAAATACTTATATTTCCATTTAACACAAAATTCATAAAACAAAACTTTTAAATAAATATTAAATGTCTGAAATTGTAAAGGTGTCTGGTGCGCATTACACACATAAATCATCTTATCCATTTTTAACGTAAAAGTGTCTACGCCGAGGAAGTGTCCACGTTCACATATGCTTTTTTATGTTTTCGAAACAAAATATGCAGTAGGTGTATTCACTTATACCGGTAAAAGCGTCTCCAACCTCAAAAGTCACAAAATACACACCGTTTCAAAATTAAAAGAGCACCACATATTGAAAAGTTTTATCAAATTACTGTATTTTGGCTATTTAATTTTAATAAATTGGTTATAAAAAAATATAGTTTAGTATTCAGCAAATACCGTATACAAGTTTTAAACTTTGTGCAATATTAGAAAAAATAAAATTAAAATTAAATAAAAAAATAAAATTAAATAAAATAAAAATTAAAAAATAATGCGGCGTATTCTTGTTTTCGTACGCATCGAAAATCATGAAATATTCCTATCATTTTCAATACAAAAATTTCAAATTTTCGATTCGTATGAAATCCAGATTATGCCTCAATAATTGTTCAAACGTGCCAATATGCGGTGCGTTTATAATTTTGACACGATTTGTATTTATTGTAAGTAATTGCCTTAAACTAAAATAAGTAACGATCTCAAGGCACGTAAAATATTTTTGATAAATGTCGAACTTTATCCGCTTTAAGTGAAAACCCCTACTAACTCAACATTTATATAAAACATCAAAGTGTTTACAAATTTCTGCGTAAAGGGAGTTCCTTAAGTATGTTTAATTAATTTAAGTCTATTTTGCTTGTATTGATGTAAATTAAGTTTTATTTTCATTTTTATAGAAATATTTATTTTTCCACAATTTTATTACTCATAGATTTTATATCTTATTCATATAAAAGTTAAATTTACCATATACGTATGTGTGTATTTTTTTTTTTTTAATATATACATACATATTTTAGGCATTCTCCATGCCATTTGTTTAACCTCACTTTTTTTTCTCTCCTTCTCTTTCACTCTCTCCCACCCGCAGCGGCATTGTCGCTTGAAACACGCTGGCGACATACGCATCGAAACCCTTGATCGCACCGTCAACACCATCAACGAACGCAATGCGCCGCCTATTTATCGACCGCTCGGCAATGGCGCCTCGAATGAGACCAATTACGGGCTTACACTTAAAGCTTTACAGCAGCAGCAACAACAGCAACAACAGCAACAACAACACCACCACCACCAGCAGAAGCAACAACAACAATCGCCTCACACTTTAAACAACCTTTCTGGTCCGCCCAGCAACTCAGTACTTATGAGCAACAACAACAACAAAAACGAACAAAATCTGTTGCATTCACCACTCGCCGGTACCGCTGCCGCTAATGCAGCCACCACACCACAGGAGCTGCAGCAGGCCGCTGCTGCATATATAGCAGCCACTTACAAGGCTGCTGCAGCTGCAGGCAATGGATCGGCTGCAGCTGCCGTTGCAGCAGCTGCCGCTCTGGGTCTAAGCAGCGATGATTTGATGTTGCATCAGCAATTGCAGCAAAATGATCAAATTGAAATCACACGCCTACCGCCAGGGGTGGCCAATGCTGCACAGCAACAGCTGCAGCAACAAGCACAATCGCAGCAACAACAACAACAACAACAACAGCAGCAGCAGCTGAACTCCAAGTGCAAGCAGCAAAAGTGTCCTCTCTGTCCGTATATTTCGGAGAGCAAATCGCAGATGAATTATCATATTTCCTTGCATAAGCCCACCCAGTACGAATGTTCGTTGTGTACGTTCGTTTGCGCCAAGAAGCAGCATTTGAGCAGTCACATGCGCACCGTGCATCAGCAGCATAATTTAAGTGCGTCCAGCCAGTTGGGCAACATGAGTGCAGCCATTAATTCGATGGATTTCAGTATGGCCTTGCAATTGGCTGCGGTGGCGCAGGCGCAACAGGTAAGGATGTTGTGAATAATTACCCATTTAATGAAATTAAAAAAAATAAACGTTTTTCATTGCGTTAGTTGGCATTTCATCGATAAATCGTTAATCAATAGCTTAAAATAAAATAAAATCGATAAATACAGCTATACATATGTATATATGTATGAAAATATATTTATATAAAAAGATAAATCATTTTATATTAACTTTTATGTTTCATAAGCGAGTTGTGTACATATGTACGTTCGATATGGAATGCCGTGATCGCCCTGTTTAACCTCAAAAACTTTTAGTATCGATAAAATAAATCATCGGTAAACAAATACAATTTTCGATACCTACACAAAAAGCGTTTTGGTTTCGTTAGCGTGAAATTGTATCCATAAAACAAGTTATCGATAAATTAAATTGACGAAAAAATTTCGATTAACAAAGTTATCGATTAGTATGTTTATAACAAAATGTGTATGTATATCGCCATAATGCGTGTATATAAAGTGTACAGATATCGATAACGACACTGTTAAACATATATCTTCTACTATCGATAACAACAGTTACTAAGACAAAAAATATCATTTAATCTAAATTCATTTTAGTTATCACCTCAAAACGAGTTATTATCGATAAAAAGAATATCGATAAATTAAATTATCGGTAAATGAATTTAGAGCAATGATAATTGGTAGATTCCTATGATCTAGAAATATGTATATCGATAGTATTACCGATCATAATATCGTTAAATAATTCCATAATATCGATAAATGCGTCATGAGGTGAACATCGATAACAATTTTTTTTTTGTATTTTCCAGGACGCATCATCACTCTCCTCGCCATTGGCTATTGATCTAACAGCTTTAAAGCAGAAAATATCTGCTGTCCAACAACAACAACAACAACAGCAGCAGCAGCAACATCAAAAGCACCCACAGCAGCTACGCCAAACACCGACACCACAACAACAACAACAACAACAACAACAGCCACCCCTGCATTCGCACAACTCCAATGAAAACCAAATCAAACGAATACTTTATTGCCCTAAATGTCCTGCCCGTTACATTCAAAAATCCAGCGACACTTCGAACGCAAAAGCGGAACTAGAAGATCACATAAAATGCCACAGCGCAGGCGATGTACTGGATAATAACACCAGTAGTCCGCAAACATCGACGCCACCACCACCACCGCCACAACCAGCCTTCAAATGCGAATTTTGCGATTATGGCACCGTGCAGGAAGCACACTTACAGAAACACCGTTATGTGCACACACAACACTACCAAGATAAGTGCGCCGAGCTATACAAGCACGTGCCTGAAGATTTGGAATATGCTCCACCCAAACTAATGCAAATCACATTGGCCAAGAGCTTACAGCAGGCGCCTGAGACGATCTGGATTGTTGATAACGATTTGAATGATCAATGCAAGGATCAAATGCTGCAGCAGCAACAACATGCAAGCATTTCCTCATCGTCGATGATGCCCGCAGCGATAACAGCATCAACCGCAGTAAGCGCGGCGACATCACATTTCGATACAGCCAACTCGCTGCTGAAAAAGCAGCTGGAATCAGGCATGACTGGCGGTAATGCTGCTAGTGGAGCAATGCGCAGTTCGCCTGCGCCCACGACGCCTACACCCACACCTACGCCCAAAGAGCTAACCGCCGACGCCGATGATTCATCAAATATGCCATCGACCAGCGCTTCGGTAGCTACAAGCGATCTAGCTGTTGATGGTGGCAGTGATTTCACATCCAGCGTAGCATCGCCGGCGCCACTTGAGAAGTGCCTCTATTGTCCCTACGAAACAAAGCATACAACACTCTATAAAGCGCACTTGCAGCATCATATTTGCATTAGCAATCAAAGAGAGGCATACATCTGCGAACACTGCGATTACACAGATGCTAAGCAGGAGCATATTGAAGAACATACGCGCGTGCATTTCAGCGCAGTGGAAAAATTGAAGTCAGTAGCATTCTTCACCTCCTACGACAACTTGGAATTGAGTGTTGAACGCGATGAGAGCGCCGGCGACGAAGAAGCGAATGCAGCTGTAGACAGTGAATTGCAGAAAGATGCAACCAACGCCGGCAATGACGAGCGCACAGCGACAGCTGAAGCAACGGCTGCGCTGCAATTGAATATTAAACAAGAGCATAACAACAACAATGATGAGCATGTGGTAAATGAAAATGTGGCAAAGGAGCAGCAGCAACAAATGGCAAGTGCGCCAAAGAGCAGCAGCATTAAGGTGAAAGATGAGAAATCATCAACAGTAGCTGCTGCAGCGGAAAGCATTAAGAAGCCTTGCAACAAGATTATACTATACAAAAATGATGGCTGCTTAGCTATTAAGCGCGAAGGTGGCAGCAGCAACAGCAACAGCAACAGCAATGTGAACTCTAACGCTAGTAGCTGCGAAAATATTAGTGATCGCCTGCGTCGCCGCATAAGTCGTAATAATAGCAGCAACAATAGTCATATGAATGGCATTGGTGGTAGCACGAATAATAATAATAACAACAACAACAACCACAATAGCAACTGTAGCGATGAACAACAACAAAGCCATAAAACGATATTAGTGAATGCCAAAACTGGTCAGGTTATAAGTAGGAATTAAAAGCGGGAGTAATTACATACATAGCATAGATGTGTATGTATAGGATGCGTGTTGCAAGTAGAGAATGGGTCGAAAGAAGTTGATTGAACAAAGTGAACTGTACTTTGCGTTTGTTTTTTTTTTTTTAATTTAAGCGTGCTAAGATGGCCGCTTCGCTTAGAGGAAGTGGATATCAAAAAAATTAAGGGACATATTTTATTATTATTTTTGTTGCTTTTTGAATGCTAAAATTATGTAAATATTATTTCAAGCATTTGTTAATGTTGTTTTTGCTTTTATGCCAACACATTGCTTCCGAAACTGTTCTTGTTCAGGGCTGTGCTGAGTGCGTGATCTGCAACTGTGTTTCGATAATAGAAACTTGCACTATCGCTGATTTCAAATGAGTTGTTCCCCCCTTTTTCAAGACAGTCAGACTTCTGCTATCAACAATGATGTTAGAAGAATACAAGAGTAAAGCCAGTCACGATTTCTTAAAGTGAAAGGCGTACGAATATGGTTGTATATATTCAAATTCTTAACATAAATGTCTGTTCTATAAATCCACTATTTTTTTTTGGCAATCGCGGCGTTGGTGAAATAGCAATCATGTTATTTACAAAATCTTTGGAACAAAGGTGTTGTTCATCTGGCTTTGACCTGCTATTATCTCACAGCTTTCTTTTAACAGCGGTTGTTGTAGAGAATTTCACTGTGATAACCAAGGCGAGGTTCGAACGCTGTTGCTTAGCAAATGAGCTCACCATGCAACTAAACGCCAATCTACTACTCAAGACTACTCCAATAAAGTTTGCTTAGCCAGAAAATAGTATATTCACTGAAGTATATGTTTATGTATGTATATCCATAGGACCTTTTTAGATGAAAGACCTCACATTTTATTTTATTAAAAGTCCGCCGACACATTCAAACGAGTACCTGCACACCATGCTACAAAAGAGTTAAGTGCAACTCGTGCTTTCTAACTTAATTATGAATCCATAGATAATACAGCATGCCAGTGTTGGCGTAAGTCTGGCAATGAACATCAGATCAAAAGAGGATATACAAGAGTGCCTCCTAAAAGAGGATACAGCACGCCGGCCAGACAGTTAATGTTACTTTGCATAATTTAGCTGCATATTTTGAGTTGCAATCATCATTTTGGAACGATGCCAATGCCAACGGAAATAGGCCTGAATAAGTAATAATTAATTGTTTGCTTTGTTGTTATAAATCGTTTTTTTTTTTTTTTTTTTGTTTAATACCAAGCAAAACATAAATGTTATAAAAAAAAATATGTTATTTCACTTATTAGTTATATTTAATTAGTCTTTAAACCAGTTTTTATTTAAATGTACCTTACGGAAAGCTCTTTTCAGGTCAAATAGCATAAAAACTTAGATTTGTTTGCGTTAATTTGTTTGTTTGTTTGTCCACAATTTGAAACAAGTTTCAGTTTAGTTTTAGTGGCAAAATTTAATTTAAATAATTAAAACTAAAGATAACAATAATAATAAAATAATTAATGATAATAAATTACATTATTTGTTCAACTCTTGCAAACGTGCAAATGAATGAATGTGGCAAATGCACGTTTTCAGTGGTTATTTGGTTACACCTTGCACACGCACACACACACACACACACACAGTTACGCGCATTTGTTATAGCATATATATATGTATTAGTTTTAATAAAAATTAAAGGCAGCAGCTATGCTGTTGAATAATTACAATATAGCGCACTAATTTGTATTGTTTTATTACTTCTAATATTTTCTTAAATAATCTACACTTAATATCGTTATTGTTAAGTTTTCTAGCGTACTAAGTTGTGTTATGCTTTTCGCAGTAAAAAAAAATTAAAAATTTATAATTATTTAAAACAACTTATTGATTCTCTCACACATTCAAATAATTAAGATAATTGCATAAGCGAATTGGTTTAACTGGGTGCAAATGTGTAAGCAGCTTTGTTGAAGAAGAAAAAAACAAAAGAATTTGACAAAAGATAATTGGCTGTTAATTGAAAGTCAAATAAAGTGAAGAGCATCATTAGTACTCAGCGTACTAACTATTTTGCGTACATTTGTTCTTCACCCATGCATGCATATACATAAATATGTATGTAGTTATAATAAAACTGTGATTTTAAAAATTTGAATTCAAAATTGTTAATTGCAAATATTGAAAATTTAAATTAAAACTAATTTAATTGCACGTTGAGGGGGGAAGGCGCCTAATAAAAATTTGCGTGACGCAAAATAAGCGCAACAAAAAAATTATGTATAAATTGTAAAAATTCTAAAAATTACTAAATCCACAACACGGCATATTTATAAATTTTAAAATTTATTGCCAACGCGCAAATCTTATTAAATTGCTGAACATTTATTTTCTCTTATTATTATATATATATATATATGTATGTAGTATAAAATGAAATATTACCTTATATATAAGTTAGTGTGTAAAATTCTAATTAAGCAACAAGCAACTAAATTTCAAATTTTTTCTCTTGAATCTTATTTGGCACTATAGCCGTTCTGTCGGTTTTGGGCCGCAATCAATGCTTCACTTATAGTTACATAATTATGTATTTATAATTGTATGTATGTACAGTGCATTTGCTTGTTAGCGAATGTGTTTTGCAAAGAAAAATGAGTAGTTATATAGTCATTTATTTGTAAATTCAAAAAAAAGAAAAATCAAAATCGTTTTCACAGGCAGTTAACGGTAAGCTGACCGAACGAAACGTAGGTTATAAGAATTAGTTTCGCTAGAAAAAAAAGTAAATTAAAAGCACGCTGCACAAAATTTTACGAAAATAAGTGGATGGGAATGAAAAACATAGTCCAACGTGTGGGGGTGTGCAGTTTGCGAAATAAGTTTCGAGTAGCAGCAACTGCAAGTAGTCATAATTAGAGTGATGACTGTATGTAGGAAAAAAATGTATGCCTATAAAAATTGTGCAGTTAAAAAGTGGTATGTATGTACGAGCATGCGCAAATATGTATTGATATAGTGAACTGCTAGAAACGGTTTTTGAGACAACTTAAAAATATATATATTTTTACAGCACAAATCGCACTTTAATGTCAAAATGTAAAAGATTGAATTGATTCAAAAAAAAATTACTAAATTTGAATTTGAGCCTAGTATTAGCTGTGCTGAAATGGTCTTTTTTATTGTAAAGTAGTATTTTTCGTATTTTTAATTTGCCTAAAAAAAACCAGATAGGGGTATTCACTTACAATGCAAAAAGATTCGAAACTTCCATTGAACTCTCTAAACATGTGTTGAATATTGGGCTGGGAATAAGGCGACGAAGACGAATACCACGACGACGAATATAAATACCAAACCCAAGGGAGAATACGAGTACGAAGGCGAATAAGACGACGCGGACGAATACGATATGAATTAGGAAGACGAAAGAAAAGACAAAGACGGATACGAAACGAAGACAAATATGAAGACGTACATATGCGAAGGCGAAACAAAGACAAATACGACGACGAATACGATAACGATCACGGCAACCAAAACCAATAGAAATACGAAGGCGAATAAGACGACGACGACGAATACCACGACGGAAACGCATGCGAAGAGGACGAAGACGAAAATTAAGACTAAGGCAAATTTCGTTCTCTGTACGAAACGAACTAAAAATTAATCAAAAGAAGTGTGACATCCATAGAGTGGTCCAGGCGCACTGCTGTATATATCTCCCCCGTTAACTTAAGCTTAATCGCATCTGACTAATTCCGTTTGACTAAATAAAAAATTAGAAAACTCACAACTAGAAAGTTTTTCGAGAAGTTATGACAGTTCAGTCAAAAATTGCGAGATTTTTTGAAGATTTTTCGTCATTGCGAGAACACCCCTATTCGGTTTTATTTACGTCACATCAAAATTTCTTAAGTAAAGTTGTAAAATATTCCAAGCATTGTTAGCTGTTCTACAATTTTTTTTTTTTCGTAGTTCTATAGTAAAACGCTACGTTCTTTTCACCACACTTTTAAAATTATTCAGCACATCTAATGCTGAAGCTTACGGCGCATTCAAATGATTAATAAAAAGGTTTTTATCAAATCAAAAATGGAAAAATTACGTTACTTTCGGCCCAGCAAAAAACTTCCCAGCAAAAAAAAATTGTTTACAAAATAAATTTGTTCTTAAACAACTTCAGTTCGCACAAAAAACAAAATCGCCAAAACATCAAAAGTTAACTAAGAAAACATCAAATCTTTTACAACATAATTTAAAGTAATGAAAATAACAAAAACAATTGTGGAATAGCGGGGCCATATAATTAGTTTAGATGGATCTATATACATATGTACGTACATAGATTTAAAAACATATGTATGTATGAATAAATATTGTATGTATCTATATTGTACATACCCTTACGTATTAATTAAAATAAATGAATAAAAACATTCATACTTATATTGCGCCAAAATAAAATCTAGAACACTTAAATATTGTTAAATAAAAAAAAACCTTGAACAGAGAAAGCATATACCAAGAATGTGTATTATCGTATGTACTATATAATAATAAATATATACTTCTATACAAACATATATGCATGTATTTATGTACATGAAAAAATATAAATATACAAAATCGAAGTAAAAAATTGAATAAGTACGCATATTTGTAATTAATAGAGAAGACAAACTTTATCTTAAAAATAAAATCGATAAGAAATAGTATATCTATAAAAAAAAATAATGAAAAATGTACAAAATCTTCATATGCAAAATTAAGAGAATCTTCAATAAAAAGCAATTTACACAAAAAACATGTTCGCTGCAATTTGTTTAAAGTATGTAAGAAAGTAAAATTGAGCCTCATTGCGTTACGTCGTAAATTGGGCTAACTTGTACGCCTCGACAACATTGGCATTCTACTGTGGTGCTGAAGTAAGTATCAACAACGAAAATCGTCGAAAGCTATGCAGTGCTGCCAAGTTTTTCGGTTTTAATTCACTACTCGAGTCGAAATTTTAGGCAATGTCGTGAATTTTTCGATACGTTTCGACTCTCACTAAAAACGATTTGCAGTCGACACGACTGTCGCATTGAGGCTGATTATCTTGGCTGCACTCATCCAGCACAGGAAAAGAATAAAGGGCGGTCTACTCTTTATTCCGCTTCAAACCTCAATGCGATTCGAAAGGCACGGACTAATACAAATTCCTAGTGTCAAGTATTTGAATCCGAATGATTAGCTTATTGAATCGCACATCAGAAGGACATTGAGACCATCTACACTGCTGGGTCCAAGTTAGGTCTGAGGGTATTAAGTGGAACAAGGCGTATTTAACAAGGAGATTTTAGCCGTATATAAGTAAAAAATTACACTAACAAATTATACGCAGATATCCATACTGTCATTGGTATGAATTACAACAAACACATAATTTTGACATAATACTTTTCACGGCGAAAAACTTAGCTGTCGTCCCAACACCACCTTTTTAAAAACGCCTGGAAGTGGAGTATACACTAGTCGAGTCGAAATTTTAGGCAATGACATCAAATTTTCGATACGATTCCACTCTCGAAAAACGACTTGCATTCGATCCGACTCTCGCAATGAGGCTGATTGTCAAAGTTAGCGCTTTTTCAATACCATCCGTTCCTTCAGATATCTCAATTTCTACTGGAGTTATTTATTGTGTGCACAGTTGAACGGACGGACATACAGACATGACTTAATTGATTTCTCTTTATTCTGAACATTTTGGCGGCCGCTGTGGTATAGTAGTTAGAAGTGTGCACTACCATTCCGCAGGGCCTGGTATCGAGCCCGATTTCTAACCAACTCCAAAAATAAAGAACAAACAATTTTTTTCTAATAGCGGTCGCCCCTCGGAAGGCAATGGCAAACCTCAGTGTATTCAGCTATGAATAGCCACAGCTTCTCATAAAAGTCCCGTTGATTTTTTGAGAAAATCCTTACATAGTTTAAAACTTCAATGAAAATTTTTTGAATCTTTCAGAATTTCGTACAAAATTTTCAAATTTGTTATAAAATGAGTTAATTTTTTATGAAAATCCACAAAAATTTTACTTGAAAAACAAATGTTAAAAAACATTCGTCTTGTGAACAGTTGTTCCAGTCACTGTTTAATGAAAAGATGAATTTTTATCAAAACAAGCAATACAGGTACTTTAAGGTTGCCTAGTGTGGCATCACTCCCTTCATATTCCACTTCCAAATTTTCTGCTGCTTTAACATAGCCCTCATCTTGTGCTTAAAAAAGCAGTAACCAACAAAATAAATCAACGGATTTCCCATCATCAGGCAGTAATTAACAATTAAGTTTATAACAAATCGCAAAAATCGTTCGCCTGGAAGCGCGTAGGAGGAGCAGGGAACTAACTCACTAAGCAGCTCTAACTCACTAAAGAAAATATACAGGATTTGGCCCAAACAAAAGAAACAAACTTGTTTTTGTTTAGCTTTCTTTTTTTCGTGTTTTTTTTTTTATTTTTCATACTTGTACATCGTTATATTTAATTTTATACATCATAATATTTATTTCTTTATCTTTAGTAAAATTTTTATGTATACTTGTATATTATTCTTTCTTTTTTCTTTTACTAAATCACATAATAATACCGTACTCACGGGCTGACACGCCGTCTTCACTGCACTTGACCGAGTTCAAATTTCGATTATAACATTTAAATATAAATATTTCTGTGCTATAATATATAGAAATTTGATAGGTTACATACATATATTTTTTCAACATTCGATTCTGATTGATTTAATTGTGTCTCATATAAGTGATTTTTTTTTATTCCTTTACGTTAGCTGGTAAATAAGTATCATCTAGCGTTGTTTTTTTTTCTATGCACATACATATACATTTAAATATCAACAATAAACACACATTTTAAAGCGTTTCAATTGTTAATAGACAAATATACAGTAATTAACATTACAATAGATTTGTGATTTTATTTAAATTTTTGTTATATCCTATTAATTTTAAAACATTTATGTATGACTAACAATTAGCATTACGAATTTGTCGCTATTTTTTTTTGTGTTTTTGTCCAAATTTTAATATATTTTGTTTACAAGTTGTTACATAATTTCGCTGCCTAAAAAATATTTGCTACAAAAATGACAAAAATAGTTAAAAAAAATAACTTAAAAATATTTGGAAAATTGCAACAGCGTTTACCTATAACTAAGCGTTTTCTATTTAAATACAACTACAAGATTTTAACCATTTAGTTTTCCACACAATAATGTCTATACATGTATGTTTGTATAAAATTTAACTGCTTGTTTTTTTTTCTGCTTACAAAATAAATGTGTTATATGGTAAAATGTTTAATAATAGTATTATAGCAAAAGTAAGTTTGTGTAAAAATAGATATTCTTGCAAATTTAAAAACAGTTTAAAAATAAAATAAGAAATCACCAAAAGCGCTACGCACGTATGCATTTGCCAAGTGCCACGCAACGTAAATATTTCTTAGCGAAAGCGTGCAAATGTTGGTTATGTATGTATGCTATAGTGAATCGGTTAATTATGTATGATATGCGCCAGTTGTTGTGGTTGTTTTTGTTAGTTGGTGGGGTACCATTGATCGAAATCGAAATTCGCCAAATTTCCATGCAATATCTTAGAAATATTTTCTGCTAACTACAGTTATGATTAGTGTTTTTTTTGTTTGGCCTATTGCAAATTACAGCATCCACCTTTCACGTTTGACCTGTACTCCGTGCCTCTTTCCCGCCACTCGCTCTATACTAACGGCGCTACTACTCGCTGCGCTACTGCTGCTGATAGCGCGCTTTCTATTCATCCAGTAGTGGCTCCTGATCGCTCGAGTAAACGCCGTTATCCGGATTCGCTGCACGTCTGTAAATATGCGCATACATTAATGCCGGTATTCATTGAATTTGATTAACAAAAATTCTATTTATATGTACTTGTTTGCGTTTGCATTTTCATTTCATTAGAATTTCACATACATTGCGCTAGCATATTGGACACGTTGTGCTGGCGTCATATTCAGGTTACCTTTCACCTTCTTGTCGTAGCCCCAAATTACACAGGTTGAAATTAAAGCAACTAAAGGAGAGAAAAAATATTCAAAAGACATTAGTAAAATAGGGCCCTCAATTCATATTTTATAAAAGTTTAAAAATGTATGCATGTAAAGTATGCGCGAAACTTACTAGTAAGCCAGCCCATAAAGAATAGCTCAACCCATATGTAGTTGCCATCGCTGCGATCGACAATCATGCCAGCTACAATGGTGATTACAGCCAATCCAAGATTTTGCACAGATTGGCAGCTGAAAAAGTGAGTAGACAAAAATAGTAAATAGAAGTAATTTTTTAAAATAATGGCCCGATTACGGATGACAACCGAACTTCAGTTGCGTGACAGAAGCTGAAATCGTATTACATACGCCAATGGCAACTGGTATGTCAATATTCTATAATACTGAACTTTATAGCACTTAACTATAGTTGCTATTCATAATACATATATATTTTCATTTCAGTAGCGTTGCCCCCAACTCAGATTGCGTTGCTTTCCATAATCGAACCATAAAACACATTAATGTTTTTCACTTCACTCACAAGCCATAGGCAGTGCCCAGTTGGTACTCAGGAATGATCAAAGCAACTAAAGGCCATAAGCTAGCGGCCAACATGGAATATGACAAGCCCATAACTACCATACCAATGTATGGGTTTAGCAGAGTAAATGCGAGTAGTGCATGTGCGCAAATTGTGGAGAATGTAGCGCAAAATACCCAGCTAACATTGCGTCCAGTCTTGTCTATAATAAAGCCGAAAAGTGGCGAAGCAATAGCCGAAATTAAATACACAATGGAATTGACATTGTTGGCTTGATCCGGTTGAAAGTTGAACCGATGCATGAAGAAAGTTCTAAAATTAAAAAGATGCAATGCAATTTACAAATGAAAAGAAAGACTCGAAACTATTTTAAAGAGTATCTACTCACTTTCCCAAAGCAATAAATGGAAATATGGCCACATAATAAGCCACACAAATAATGGAAACCATCCAAAAGCTGACCTTAAAAGTTGTGACATCGCTCAGTTTGGCAATCTCACCAGAAGGATTAGTGTTGCGCTGTAAAATGCGTTCCGCACGTTTATCCATCCAGCCTATAGAAAGCGTGTAAAACACCAAAATATAGATTAGAGATATAGATATCTTACTTTAACACATAAATCACTCAATCACTTACCCAAAATCAAAGCGCACAATAGCGACAACACACATGTGCCCGCTGCTAGCAGCAACACCACACCGATTGCTCTGTGGCCCTCATAAAATTTCGTAACATAATCATATATCGGCTGCATTACCCAAAAGTTGACAGTGCTGCCAAAACGTGCCACCGACAATTGCAAACCAAACACCATATTCAATTCCTTGCCCTTGAACCAGAGTACAGCGTAATTATTTTGCGCCACCGCCAATGACTCAGCGCCGATGCCGAATATGAAACGACCCAAAATCATAACCCAGAATGCACCCAAAAGTCCACCAGAAGCGAATATCAACTGACCAATTAGTAAAATGAAGAGGTAAATGATTGTGCCCAAACGTATGCCGAAAACGCGATCGATTAAGAAACCGCCAATGAAGCAGAGCACAACATTTGGCCATGAATAAATGGAATAGATGAGTGTGAACTCCGTGGTGGTAAGATCTAGTTCCTTCTTGAAGACCTCTTGCAGAGCGCCGGGATTGTCGTAGCAAAAATAGGAACCTGAAAGAGAGAAGCATAATGATTAGCAAATTGGTTCAACTATTAAATACGAGCCTAACAATATGAAAGGCTTAACACTTTAAGAGCCTTTTTCCCTAGCAGCTTTTAAAATCTATCCGGCCTTTATACACAAATTTTGTTCTCAAAAAACGTGTTTATAGGGCAGATAAATTTTAAAAGTTACTCGACAAAGCTGCCCTAAGTATGAAAATTAAGGTCGATCTTCTTTGATTTTATTTTTTTGTGCCACCACTGCTATTGTCGTAGTGAAACTACTAAGTGCTCGCTAAATCGCTAAGTCGGCAAGTACATAAATCGTTGTCATCAAGCTCATCTACCGGTAAGCTCGACCCAAATGGAGAGAGGGATGTATTTTTGGGGGAGGTAGTTGAGAAAGTGGTTAGTGTTGTGAAGGGAACCTATATTTTTGGTATGTCAGCGTCGAGTTTGCATAAGTATGAGTACAGCCATAGTATCCAGACCTTAATCATTTCAGAGTTACGTGGGTTTTTCGCGGCCGCCAAAGCTCTTCGTCTGCGATGTGTGGTAGTTGAAGTCAAAATACGACATGCACAGTGTGAAGAGTCTGTGAAGGGAGGTAATAGACTTCCAGTGTATGGCGTTAGTGGCTTGTAGATACTTTGTTGAGCCTAGTGGTTGAGCTATGTATGTCTGGATCTTATACGAGAGTTCATAGATCTGTCTTTAGACGTACCTGGGAGGAAGCTCTGCCTCCAGCAAGAGTTTCTTGCGATATGCAAAGTTCTGACAAGTCTATAGCTTCTCGAGCTACTTTCTTACTAGTCTTCGGCGAGCAAAAAGGCGCAGCATAATCTGGGATCCAATTGCCTTATACTATGTTGCTAACAACGTCCTTTTCTCTTGGCCTCAAGAGCTGTCGGCTTGCAATTTGAGAGCAGGCTATACGAATTTTAGTTGTAGCTGAACCCCCTTCATCAAGGTGGAAAAAATACAGAAATATCGGTGAAATAGCCGTTTACAATCAAACGCTGGCCATCAATGCCATTGCCGGACGTTAATATCAGAGAATCGCCAGCGTAGCAGATCAGGGAACTCCCTACGGTGGCTGAGAAAGCTTCGAGATGCATAAGTTAAACAATGCCACGGATAGGAAACTACCTAACGACTGTAGACCACAGCGACTGTAGAACAGCAGCGTGGATGCCTTCTGATATCGCCAGAATACCACCTACATGACGAGGCTCTGGCTATTCATACCTGAGCAGACTAAACGCGGATGTGCCGAATGAGTGAGCACTTCGTGGAACTGATGCTCGCCAGCTAGCACGCGCGGTGGAGGCTTTGTCGTTCATGATGCGGATTGTTGAGTGGTCGCTGGCAATAGAATTCGACAACGATCGTTTGACAGTCTTGAAGCCAAAGATCGGTCGACATCTGCTTCAAAAAGACGATTGGCATAGTGTGATGTCAAATGAACGGTAGCTCTTACTCTGCCGTTGCCTCGCTCGTGACCCTTACGGAGCACATTGCAGGCGGCGCAAGGTTTACTTACTGTGCGACTTTGTTTCTTGGATTGCAGCTATCAACATACCATGCCGATCTATTAAAATGGTTGATCCTCGATCTTGCTTTAGAGTTCAGTTGTAGCAAATGCGTTTGCCTTAGGAAGCTGAGTAGGGGCTGCTATTAAACTTGTTGCCTAGCTGTGGCAGTTTGAGGCGTCACGGCTGGCGGCCACCGGGAACGTAGTACTCACTCGTCCATTCATGGGTGGTGCGCAATCCACAAAATACTTTAAAGTGACACCAGCCAAGACAGGGGGTCATGTTATGATTTATTCTGGACTGACAGAGCTGCCGGTTAGTCCACACATGGTAGTTGGAACGATATCAAGGTTGGGGACCTGCTCAGGTTAGCTCCGTGGAACCGTGGAGGCTGATTGGGTTTTTGGAGTCACCGGCGCATTGCGCAGAATGCGGATCACCGTGGAGAATATAGTTGCCGTTTGGATTGAGCAAAATAGGGCCATAAACCGGGTGGTCCACTCCTTGTGTGAGTTAAGGCCTGAACAGGTATTTAGGTGCAAATATTGCACCTAACCGAAGTGAAGTTCGGGGGGAGTTTTCTCGGGCATATACCGCAGTAAAAGGTTTCTGGTACGGGGTTTGATTCGAAGTCAGCCCTTGGACGGGAAAAATTCGAGTCGTTCCGGCGTGATTAATTGCTCGTGATTTTCGCTGTTTTTCGATGTCTGCACAGACGTGTGGGGTGCCCATACCAAAATATGTTATCTTATAAAATTTTTGCCGACGATAGGTACATACATACACTGCCGGAAAAAAAGTATTGGCACATAGAATTAAAAAAAAAAAATCAATGTTCTTTTTAATTTATTCCCCAAATTTTTAATAAAATATTGCTTATACTAGTTATCTACGAAAAAACATTAAAATAAAATTTCTAAACTTTTTGGAAAAAATATGGTGTTGTCGCATCTACCACAAAATGTCGCCTTTTGATTGCCCCTTTCGCTTTTCGTGTTCATAAAATGCCACACTCTTGTAAAGCAAAATATACAGATGCTCAGCCTTTTGAAGCTTTGTCAGAGGAGACCGTTGCCCTGAAAATCAGGTAGTGCTTAAAACGACAATAATATGAAATGTGTGAGCTGGATAAGTATAAGAAGGCCAACACATGCCCTTCTAGAGGGGTGAGTGTAACATCAAACAAATTTTGCACTGGGGAAGGGCGACATTTTTTTGGAAGAAACGAAATCACCATTAGGACAATTCAATAGATGGGCATGCAAGTTTCCACTTTTCTAATACGTTTTTTTAGAAAAATTTTGAAAACGCGGTTCAAACTTCACTTCATTATACTACAAAACAAAAAAGTTCGAGATGTACCCCTGAGTCTAAAGAATTTTTGCAAGGCAATTTCGATTTTTTTTGCCGAACATAGTCTGCCTTTTTACATTTTTCGATGACAATTTCATTCGGCAATACAATTTTTTTTTTTTAATTACTAGAATAATCGAGATCTTCCTAACCATGATACAAAAAAGAAGGTAGTTTCAATAAACAACTTTTTGATTAAAAAGCAGATTTTTGACAATTGCTCAATTGTGAAAAATTCGAAGCGGCATTACCCAATTGTAAGTTTTTTGGTGTGGGACATTTTATATCCTAAAT